ACAGTAGCTGTTTATGGCAGTAGAAAGCCCAGTCTTTCTCCTACAGAGCTGCTGGTAGTTATGAACTGTTGACTATGTGGGTTGCAGCCCAATTCATAACCACTACACCACCAGGGTTCCCTGTGTAAAGACTGCAGCCTTGGAAACTGTGGGGACAGTCTTCTCTGTCTTAATGGGATCACTCTTAGTCAGGATCAACTTGACCAGCAATGGGTTAAATTTGGTTTTGATTAATAGTCCTTTATATTAGTAGCCTTTGGTGATGTAATAATAATAAAAGCAAAAAAAACCCCAAACCAGTGGGTATTTTTAGGGGGGGCAGGTATTGTGCTAATTGTTGTATATGCATTATCTTCTTTAATACCCAACAATAGGTATAATCACTCATTTTTATAGATGAAAAACCTCACCAAGATTAAGATAGTCTTATGTTGTTGTTGTTAGACGCTTTTGAATTGGTTCCAACTCATAGTCACTGTATATACAACAGAATGACACACTGCCTGGCCTTTGTCATCCTCACAGTTCTTATGTTTGAGCCCATTGTTCCAGCCGCTGTGTTTATAGACGTTGCCAAAACAAGGCTTCAACCTAAGGATGTCTGAAATGAAAGTTTGTGTATTTAGTAATTACTTTGAATTTCTTTTCATGGTTATTAGTACAGAAAAACATTAAAATGTCTTCTGTCTTATTTTTCTTAAGGCAGGAAAATGTAAAAGTATTTTATGACCATTTTTCTATTTTGAAGTTCAGATATCTGAACTTTTTCACTAAGATATAAGATATTGTTTTCTAAAATGTAAGATATTTAAATTTTTGATAAGTATATATGATCAAGCATATGTACTTTTGAGTAGGAAACTGAAAATCAATTTTACTAATTATATAATTTTATTTATTAAAAGAAGTAAATATGTCTAGGTAATTTGTACATATGCTAAGTTCTCTTTATTTATACCCCATACTGTTAACAAAGAAATGTTAGGGACCCTGTGAAACAGATATGCTAGCCTGTAATAAAAATAGTTAGAGAATATTTTGTTTGATATCAAGCCTGTGTCTGTCTAGAACAGGCATCCTCAGACTATGGCCCATGGCCATATGCGGCCCGCTGAGGACATTTATCCAGCCCGCTTGGTGTTTTTGCCCCATTTGTTTTTTTACTTCAAAATAAGATATGTGCAGTGTGCATAGGAATTTGTTCATAGTTTTTTTTTAAACTATAGTCCTGCCCTCCAACGGGTCTGAGGGACAGTGAACTGGCCCCCTGTTTAAAAAGTTTGAGGACCCCTGGAATGGAAGTTTCATGAGGGCAGACAATTCTATGCTTTCTTCATTAGCTTCAGTGTTCTGAATAATGCCAATAAAAAATATTGAATGAATATTGGTGGCCTGCTTTCATGTACCCGGAATTATAATTGCATGCAGCTCATTGAATCCTCAATCCTCTCAATATAATAACAGTGCTCTTCTCATTCCCTCCCTGTGTTTGCTCTTTCCATTGGTGGGTCTTCCCTATGCTGCTTGCTGTCTGAGCTTTATTCCTGAATAAACACCACCCTTTTAATCTCATGGTGTTGATTGTTGTAAGGAGTGCAAACCTCCTTTGTGTTATTGTTTATTTTATAAACCTTTCCACAGTTCAGTTCCACACCTAAAGATGTGGAAGAGGCATAGTCTTATGATCCTACCAGTGTCATCAGACCAGTAAATCTCGTCCTTTTAAAGATTTTTTCAGAGTTGTTTCATATTTTCTCCCACTCTATCCAGAACTTCCGGTTGTGATCTCTTTCCGAGAAGTGGGAAATGGTAGCTGGGCACCATCTAGCTCTGGTCTAAGGATCATGGATGCTGGGGCTCATGTGGTTCCTTAGACTTGGGGTCGAATTGTTTCCTTGAGTAGGAGTCTCTTTCTTCTTTGCACTGCATGGGGATAGACCAAGAGTTGCACTTTAGATGGCTACTGATTCTTGATTTTTAAAATTTTGTAATGCCCTTATAGCCAATATTTTGAACGTGGTTTTCAATGTTAAAGGAACCCTAGTGGTGGGATAGGTTAAATGTTGGATTGCTTACTGAAAGGTTAGCAGTTTAAGAGGCTATTTGCCTCTGTAAAGATTCACAACCTTAAAAAAAAAAATTACTAAGGGTTCATGAGGGGGGAGGGTGGCAGAGGGGGGGCGGGAATGAGGAGCTGATACCAAAGGCTTAAGTAGAAAGAAAATGTTTTGAAAATGATGATGACAACATATGTACAAATGTCCTTGACACAATGGATTGATGTATTGATTGTGATAAGAGCTGTAAGAGCCCCCAGTAAAATGATTTATAAAAATTAAACAAAAATTCATCGCCTCAGAAGCTCTATACAGGGCGTCCCAATGACTTGATGTTGGCACTTTTTAAAAAAAGTTTTGTTTTATTCACTGATTAAAATATTTGCAAATTTGGGCCAAATACTGTCCCAATGATGTAATTGAAGTTATCTGTCTTTTAAGAAATCTTTTCTTACTATCATTTTATAATCTTATTCTCATTTCATTTATTATCATTTTATAAAACAATGCAGACTATACCCAAAAGGGAAAAAGTATTAAGTGAGTTTGCTTACTTCTTCAACTTTTTCCTTTCCACTTGGAATTACTTACTAAAACTTGTATACAATCATACTTTTAAAAAATCTCAGGAGTTGTCATTAGCTCTACTACTTTCTGGCTATCCCACCTTGGAAAATGACACCTCCCCCCTCTGCCCTGTGGCAGAGTAGGAGAGTAATGATACCTACCTACTTCATAGGATTGCTGTGAAGAGAACATGAGGTTCTATAAACTCTGTAAATCACTTAGACTAGTGGTTGGCACATAAGAGCTCAGTGAATGCTAATTGTTATTTTTAAGAGTTTTTATGAGGTTTAAATTAAATAGGATTATGCATGTAAAATGCTTAGTAGAGTACCTGGCATTTATTAAGTGCTCAATAAATGCTAGTGGCTCTAATTTAAATAATCAAGTGCCTGTATGTCTAAAGAGGTTATGTTTTAAAGTCTTTGCATATGTCATTTCTTTGGTGAATTTACTTTAGAGCATGAGTAAAAATCGTTAGTTTTCATATTATCTTTTTCCAACAGCTGTAAAATTAAAGTATTTTATTTATTAAATTAAAGTTAAGGTATTTTTTCTTTTTTCTTTTTAATCATTTTATTAGGGGCTCATACAACTCACAATCCACACATACATCAGTTGTGTAAGGCACATTTGTATATTCATTGCCCTCATCATTCTCAAAACATTTGCTCTCCAAGGTGAAGGTATTTTTAAATGGTACATTTATTTTCTAAGTTCAGAGCATTTGTTAGACCTCTCACTTCAAGAACTCATCTTGTTTTATTATTACAAAAGTATAGATGTTTGATTAAACCACAATTTAGTAATTTTGCTTGAAGAGGCTGTCAACATTTTTAACTAGTTTTTCCCTTTTCTTTGAAAAATTATCCCCTTTGTAGGTTTGTGGAACCTTGCTTCTCTGTTTTCCAACCTCTGCTTATTTGTGTTGATGCCCTTTGCCTTTTTCTTTCTGGAATCAGAAGGCTTTGCTGGTTTGAAGAAGGTAAGGTGCTTTGGAATGAAATTGGTTAGATGAAGAAATGAATATCCATATCAAACTAGAAAAATTAGCTATTCCTGTCACAGAGTGTCTTTTGTAGTTTAAAGTTATGACATGAAATTCTAAAAAATTTAAAGCATAGCATGAGGTTAAGTGATTTTATATCTAGTGTTTTCAGGATAGTAGCATTATTTAAAGTCAAGCATGCTCCTACTTTGTCCTAATCTTCAAGGTACTATGAACTAGTCATCTTAAGTGGATATAGAAGGGTTAGAATAGGGCAAACTGGGAGGAATCTTTGCAAGAGCATATGAAAAAATCAATCAGAACTTTATAACTGTTAATAACTTACCATTAAATGTAGCATTTTATAGTAAAAACAATGGAATTTATATAATCTGGAGAAATTTGCTAAGCATTTTTGGAATATTGCATAAAATCTTAAGAAGTTAAGATTATTTTAGGAGTTTTAAGCGAAATTGGCAAAATGAATTCTAGTGTTAGAGTTTAGTTGAAGACACATGATATTTGGATTTTTTGTTCTTTTCAACTTTTGTTATATGAAGTGACAGTGTGCTTATATATCTTATTTCTGAATAATTCTCTAACATTAATGAAACAAATTTGTCATGGAAAGTTGTGAACTATGTGTGAATTCTTATTTCATATTTTTTGTTTAGATAATCTTAGGAGAAGAATGATTTAACATGAATGTGAAATATATTTAAAATCTACCTACTTTCTACTTTTTATAAAAATTTAGTTTTTAAATAGATTGTTATTAAAACAATAACACAACAGTAAGGACAAACTTCTTGTTTCTAACTTATCGTCCTACCTTCTATGAGCTAATCAATCTGGAAAGGGGTTTGACTAAATTTGCTTGAACAGGATTAGCAGCCAGTTTTAGAATTAAAACAAAGCAAAATAAACAAACAGAAAATCCCAATGCCATATATAATTTTTTCCCACGTTACTCCTTATCTTTGTGAAGTAAAAGGAGAATTTAGCTTGAAGAGGGACCCAAGAAGATCATTACAGAGATTTAGTGTCTAGCTTTGTTCCTTCTAATATTTTTACCTTTAATGTCTCTTATATACCTTTAAAAAATTCTCAAAGCACATATTGGACTATGTTAGTCTTTTGCTTAAAATCCCTCAAGTGTTATAAGCAGCATTTCACTATTTCAGATAGGGCTAAAGGTTGAACGAATGCAGAGGATAATTGCCTTGGCCAATCCTGTCAATTCCCCAGTAGAGCAGAGGTTATTAGAAAGAGAGCACTAAGCCAGAATCCTAGGATGGGTATCGTTTACTTGAATTGGGAAGTTGAATAGGGGACTGAATACAAGTTATAGAAACCAAATTAAGCAATTTGGTCTTCAGTGCTATTAAGGAAAGGAGGGAGAGGGGATTGTAGCATGAAAGGTGGATCAGGTAGAATAATTTTAAAGTAGGATATTCTGATTATATTATATATTTAAGGGAAGTGACATCGGAAGAGAGACTGAAGGTCCAAAGGTGAGAAAGTTTGGTTTTAACATCAGATTATTGGGAACCTTCACTAAATTACTTAATTCTCTTTTTATAAATGGGTATAATTTTAAAATTAAAAATATAACTGATATTTACTTTACTATCCTGATTTGAAGATTAAATTATATGGCACATATAGCGGAGGACTTTGCCCAGCAAATGTTAGCTATTATTGTCTTAAAGGTAATCAATAGCCGTATTTGACTACTAAGTAGTCTAAGGTACTGTATCAGTGTTAATACACGATCATCAAGAACCGAGTACACTAAAGTCAACTCTGTAGCTATTTACATAGTGTAGTCTCAGGCAATTTTAGAACTCCAAATTATTTTTCTCATTTTGAAATGACATGTATTGAAACAGGAAAAAAAATCTGTTTTCACATTAAAGATAACATGCTTTAAAACAAACCTGCTTAACTATAGGTGCATGTTAGAACCTAATGGAAAGTTTAGAAAGCTTTGAAATGAAGGTGGTTATGGCATGGCATTTTAAAATAATATTATCTTTCAGTTTTTAAAGCCAATGATATGAAAGAATTATTATTATTATATACCAAAGACTATCAAGTCAGTTCAGATTCATAGTGACCCTAAGACAGGATAGAACTGTTGCCTGGGGTTTCCGAGGCTTGAAATCTTCATGGAAGCAAATGGCCTCATCTTTCACAGAATGACTGGAGGTTTGAACTACCAACCTGGTGCTTAGGAGCCCCATACTTAACCCACTACACCACTAGGGCTCTTTATAGTTATGTCTAATGATATAAAATACAGGTTTGAGACTTTCTGCAATACAAAATCATTTAGTACTTACGTTTACAGATTCTAAATAATGTTTCTTGAGATACATAGTTCTCTACGGCTATGTTTGAATTATTACCTTTGCTTTCTTCATTGAAGTTAATGTTGTAACTGACCACAATCAATAAACTGTTAGATAAATATATATTCATGTACATATACCTTCTTTTTAAAGCTATTTTCTTATTGGTGAAGTTGGACATACCTAATTTCTGAGGTGATACTAAAGAGAAGTTAAAAATACTTCTAATTGGTAGATTAAACACAATAATTTGAGTAATGACAAACTTGTAATATAGTTAAGTTAAATTTCCTTCTCTTCCTTTGACCACCCTCATGGCACTGTTTTACTATGTCTAAGTCTGATGTATTCCCTAAATGGCATATGGCCCCACCATATTCCCATTGATTCCCCAGGGCAATCGATTTTAAAACAGCTCCTTGCATACTGTGCTGAGATGCGGAAATTGGCCACTAGCCATGGGCGGATGCAGAGCTTGAATTGAAAATCAAATTAAGCAGAATTTTCTACTTAGTTTTTAATTAAACCACTATGTTAATTCAAACAGGACATTTTAGGCCTAGGGGGTTGACTATGACTTTTAAGGGCCTGAAGTAGCCTTTCTTCTCTCTCCTTACTATGGTGCATGTTTCTATTTTATTAAGCCCATCTCCCCCTATTCCCTTTATAATTTTCAAGTGCAAGATAGTATATATTATTTTAAAAAAGTGAATATTTTAAAGTAAGAAAGTAACTTTTACTATGGCACTCTCTGCTCTTTTGAGTTAAGTGTTTTAGCATGTCTCACGTATTTCAGTGACCGTTATGTATTCTCTCTGGCTCTGTTGTATGTTCACATGTATTGGAATCAGACCCCATACTTAAATCTTAATTTTCCAACCCTGATGAATGAAGGTTTCATCTGCTAGTTATGTGTTACTTTGATGTAGAAATATTTTCTCCCTCTGTTCTGACACTGGTCACTATTGTATTTATACCAGAATCTTGGGCTTTAAGATTAGACAAGCATCTTGCACATTTTCTCTTTCCAGTTTACCTCAGAAATTCTAGATTATCTGGGTTAGCATCAGAAAATATTTTCTTATTTCATATTGAACTCTGAAGGTTCATGTTATGTTTTAGAATTGGATTATGAACTAAAATGCTGAGAGGAAAAGATCAAACAAATTAATGGAAGTGAAAAAAAAATCTACCGTATGATTGCTACATAAGTTTAGTGACTGATTAAATCATAGGCCAACAATTGTTCTGGGAGTCAATGTATAATAGACTCACCTTTATACCTAGCTTGAATTTGAAGTCATGGAATAAAATTTAACGTAAGCGACAGCAACATCCTGACTAATTATCCAAACTATCCAGACAACCCAAAATGTTCAGAACATAACACACGGTCTGTAGGATTAAGAGGTTAACTCCTATAACTTCAAACAAAGTGCTTAATAATAAAAGCAAAAAGTACAAAATTTGAGGTAACTTCCTTTCTTAATTAATTAGACTGACCAGGTGGAAGCGAAGAGTTCTGTGCTGGTGCTTGGAATGTCTATAAAGCTGGGCAACATGACAGCACAATAGAGGAGGAACAAAGATTTTTTTAATATGTTTCTATCCTGTGTCACAGTTTGAAATTGTCCTGGTTTATGTCCCTTTTGGCAAACTTACATAAAAGTGACCTTGTACTGTATTTTATGACCAGATGACTTTTTCCCCCCAGTGGCTAATTTGTATCAGGCCTCCATCTTAAAGGGACACAGAAACGAGTAGGAAGCCCAGGCCACTTTGTCTCAGTAAGCTTTCATTGCATTCTTTCATTATTTTTGCTTGTTTTTTGCCACTGATCATCCATAAATTGTTGGAAATGAGTGATTAAGGAAGTGCTGCTTAGTGTTAGTGGCACATGCGCATATTTGGCATGGTTTTTGTGGGTGAGAGGAAATCACAGACAAAAAGGAAAACTCCTGCTGGGTTCCTTTCAAGGAAATTTAACTTGGGTCATGTTTTGATCTTGGCGTTTATTACAGAAAATGGAGTCATATCTAACTAACTATTGTTATGTGTTAATTTGATTTTCCCAACACCTTTAAGAAAAAAATTGGATAACTTACTAATAGAACTTCCCATCCTCCACCTAGAAGGAACAGCAGTCTCTTTCTTAGAAATAGCCTGGAGGAGATCGATTTTTTTAAAACCACTTATTCTGGTAGTGTTATTACACTTGAGATAGGTTCCTTTTTGCATTGTTAATCTATAACAACACCAAGTGGTCATCTCAAATGTTGAAGCTTGGTATAGAGAATCTCAGTAAAGCTGTTAAATATGTTTATTTCATCAAGTTAAAATTTGAGTTTATAAAGATTTTGAATTAAAAATTGTTTATTTGATATATATTACTATTATATAATTTGCACATAAGCAGGAACTAAATTATGACTTGAATTATAGTATCTTTTGTTAAACTGCAGATGTTTTTTAAAAGTGCATTATCCTTTTCTGTATATTTTTGATGATGTGGTAATTTGAAATGATTATATTATAGTTTCATCATCTTCACTGTTTATAAGAGGAATTTCACGTTTAAGGCTAAGCTGACTCTTTATTTTTAAGACAATATAGTGACAAATAGCTTTCACATTCAGAAGATTT